TGCTTCAATGAGTGTTTAAAGTTGGGAATGTTGATTGATTCCCGTACACATTATGGTTTAATGCTAGATTTATGTTAGTTGGTACAAATTTGTGACAAGGAAATGACTTTAATGATTAGAAACAGGCTTTTTCATACGCTTTCTTGTTCTCCATGATTGTGTTTACAATTAGTGCACAAATTGATATTGTGTTTTTGGCAACAATCAAATGATGGAATCTGGGCAGTGAGACAGTCGGAGTGGATTCAGTCATTATTTTTGTGTATTGTTTGCCATGGATCCAACAATGCAAAATTGACAGTTCCCGAGCAGTTTTCAATATTCGATAGCAATATGAATTCCTCTGCACAAGGTTGCACAAAACACTTGAGCATCTTTCTTCCATGGCTATGAAATTGGATGATCCACATCACATCTCATCATGCAGAAATAACGGCTTAAATCTGTACCACCGCCAATAGTAAGAATATCAGTACACTAATCTACTACCTGGCAAGTTCGAACTTCATGCTCATAAAGATTGACCACCAAAGACCAATTATCATTGACCGGAGTTTCTAGTCCACCAATCTGAAAGTCAGCGATGACATGTAAAATGGGTTCAAAGTTACAGAAATCTGTTTCAATACCCTGCAAGAACCCTGGGCTCATCTCGCGTTGGATCCTGTTTTGTGAGCTTGCTAGAAATCTGTTGACCCCCCCCATAAGTCCGTTGACCTGGGAAACTGGTACAAGATTTGGAATTCATTGTAGCAATCAAACCAACAAGCGTCTCACCCTAATCTACTTCCGAGACCCTGGTCTTCGAGAAGATCAGGTTTAAGCAGCACACATTCATCAACTCCTTATTTCTTCTGTATTTAGACGAACCAAATTGGTTTAGTTGCACATCAACATGTAACGTTCATACCCAGATTAAATTCCTTTAGCATCTTTCAGTCCAAGCTTCCGGACCGACGGTTGGACGCTTCCCGGATAAGCACTCAACTTGAAGACAATTTAACATTATTTTTACCAGGATCGCTGACAGTCAATGTAGCTTCTTCTCTTTCCAACTTTGAGCTAACCCACTACTTTCACAAAGTCAAGTTACACAGATAATCACTCAAACTAGCTTCGATCCAATGAGGAAGGTAGCTGGAACCACCGAATTCATATCAATTCGGAGTTTGACGCTTTTACTTTCCATACAGAGACATATACGAGCCCCTTGAATATTCCACCAAGACTTTAACCAACATACTTCCAACTCCATCTGCAAGCTCATTCGCCTTATGAAAACGGCATGAATTCACGCTTGAAAGGAGACCCGCTGTTTTAATCAACGACCATTGAGTAAACCCACCTAATCTATCAGAATTTCGAAATACATAATATCTAGTTACCAAGTTGATTACCTCAATCGTTTACCATAAACAATCATGATCACTCGTCCCCATTCATTTTAATTAACAATCCCATGTCCATGTCTTAGGTGCGTCGCAATAAGCATCTTTCCTCTAAACTTTGCAAGTCCCGGAAAATCTTACTGCATGGTCGACACACCCAAGAATACAAATGCCGTGCCTCAAGCTTCACAATCGCAACACGATGTAATCCCACCTCAGCCTTCCAACGGTGAGTAAAGAATAGAAAATGCAATTGCGAGGCGGGCTGTGCATCTCGAACAGCAAACACTTGCACAGACCTTTCGTGATCCGTTCCGTCAGAACTTACATCAGCAGCATGGCCACCCTAAACTGTTCAATGCAACATTATCCTTTTATCTCATCTCTCTTGGGCACACTCAGGCTACTATCGGATACCGGGTAAACATATCTGCAAATGCAAGAGTGTCACTTTCTGTTAAAATGCAATGTCCAACAGACAAGCTTTTGATGTCCCGATCAAAATATTCATCTGTTCAGTTGGTTGTTTGTGATTGGGCATGAATAGGGGCTAGTAGTAGTGCTGATGCAAACTTACCTTGTTAAAATATGCGTCTAAGCGAATTGTAGAGGGTCTCCGTGGCAGCGCAGCTGTTGATGCTTCTCATGAAGTGTATGAGCATGGGTATGGATGGCCCGCGTGAAGCTGATATTGTGATTTTGTATTTTTGGCGGGGCTTTGTTTTAGTCTTAGAATTATCATTTAGAGAGAAATGCTAGGAGCTAGACAGCTAGGAGAGCAATAGCAAATTATGGACAGTAACACGTCTCGAACGTTCTCTTTGTTTGTTCTTAGTCCGCTTTCGGGGGTTCGGGGAAGTGATATGAATGGTCTTAGTGCTAATATCCTTGGAATAGAGAATTAGACAAGCCGGTATTGATGCCCGGCTCAATAGATTGTCTTCAAGCGAGCTTCTTTGTTTGGAAGTTTGAGTGATTCGATGCATATCATTACCAGAGCTATTTAGTTCCAGAGGAATTTGGCCATTGTCGTTTACCCCAAGAAGGTATCTAATACCCCTTTCTTCTACATACTGTATCTGCCGAATCCTTGAATATAACCGCGCTAGGAAGGACTTTAATGATCTTGAACAAACCTAGCAAGCCCAAATCTTCATGTAGAATCTTCTAGGCGCCTAGAAGAATACATCCATGCCGGACGGCGACAAGATTTCACAATCGCCGAGTTCGCCGCCATAAACCAAACTATCGGATTTTGACCGCCAAGCTCGGCTCGGCCACTCCGCTCTCCTCATAGTGACACTAATTCGCGCCAGGTCTCCGACGAAAGCCCATTGTAGGCTAATTTTACACCCACTGGCTGAATCGATTCATGCGGCGCAGATTACTCGACAAGATCATGCCTACATTCGCTATCAGCGGCTCTGAGAGCCGGCGCAGTAGGTGCACAAATATTCGAGGGTTGGATATACAACTGTTGTACGTTTGGGGCATGTAGTAGGCAGAGTGCGTTATCTTCGATCATATTTGAGGCCTGCAGTCTTGGATAGCACTTGTCTCACATAAAAACTTGGGGGTTTGGATGCGCAGACAAGTAATTACGGCCAAGGCAATGATCCTAGATGAGTTGGGATTTCGAGAAAAATCACATCCACAATTGTGGATTGGAATTAGGGGAATATGATTATTGAGTGGGAACTTTTAATGCCGAGGTTTTGTGTTCTCCGTGGGGTGGGTGACCAGTGATCGCCCGCGGTGAGAAGACCATGATTTTTATAGCAAGAATTCACGATGATCAACGGTCACCCAAGGTGTTTGTGTCACCTCGACTGGCCGTAATGTCTCCGAGGAGTTAGATATTACACAATGTGTGACTTTGACGCATGCTTTGATGGCTCAGTTCATATCGACATGTGTAACCTGAGCATTCTACCCCTCATGTGATATTTGGGTTTTGGGGGTCCGCATTCCACCACCATCTAGTGTCGTCACGTACTTGTGCACGAGTTTTGGAGTCTCATTGGATTCGTATATTTGCCTTCATGAAAGTGATAGGATATAGCAATGATTTATGACAATGTGGAGCCTGTACTCTCAGAGAAATTGGAAAGCCACTAAAAAGAAAAAACTGTGTTTGTTGGATGCCTGTTTTGAAACTGCCGGGATGTCATCTGATCGAGGCAGGTCATCACTTGGGAGTGTATTGTCTTTTGGGATTTCATGAATTGTTGCTCTTGTTACTCTTGTATATCTCCTATTACTAGGATATTCACATCAGTTAGAAAACAATTCAAGTGCGAAGATGTGAATTTGGGCGAGCCCATGCATGCCACCAAGATAAGTCTCCCTCTGATTACCATCTAGATACTCGATTTACTTGCGTCTCTTCTTCTCTAACTCAGCCAACTAAAGTCATGTTAAATATCAGAATCATTTTCACCCTTCATCGAATGCAAAAAGGAAGCAGCTAGCTGTCGGATTCGGCTCAGGCTTTGGGACGATTCTTCACCCTGTCTCTCTCCCAACACTTCCAAATTACCAGCCAGTCTCGTCCTTAAAGCAACTCCATTTTCTCGACAATCAATTTTCATAGTGAAAGCTTTAGATTTTATACTCAGGTCAAGAGAATATTTGGGCCATGCTTTGGTGGCTCTCCCCACGCATACAATGGCACCTCGTAGTATAGGAGGAAATACCCGATTGTTGTCGAGTCGTCACCACGCCATACAGGAATAAGAGGATTCTACATACAAGAACACAGTAAGGTTTCAATTTGGGTCAAGTAGTGAGATATCAAAATGGTAGGGATACAGAGGCTTCCTCGTCAACTTCAATCAGACATACCCCGCATTACTATGTCTTTGAATCTTTTATAGCTCTCCTAATATTCTAAATTGAATTGAAACTATCTCTTTGGCAATATCTCATAGAGCCTGCAGATATAATGTCATTACCAGTGAATATGACCGAGATTTTTGATCTCTGCATGCGGATCGGGAGAAAATGCCCATCGTTTTCGATTGTAGGATTAAAGCACCTGGTTACCTAGTCTAATTATTAGTGTCAGCGTCGTAGCCCGTCAATTTTCTGTGAGAAAAGTGTTTGTCATTCACAAATCAACAACTATCGTGCTGAGTTGTTCACTGTTCGTTCTTCCAACATCTTCAGATCAACTTCACAGTTGCGGCACATCTTACTTCAACATGTTCAACTTACCCCGCTCATCCTATTGTTCATTGTTAGTTCAACAAATCCTAAGTCATCTATGTACAAGTTACTTTGAGCTTGCTACAAACATACAATAAGCTTATTATATAACTCAATTATGGCTTTGTTAGTAGACTTCCTCTTCCTTGTTTATTGTATTAGCGTTCCAAGATAATAAGACTTGATATTTGCTCATTACATACTTCATTCAGATTCTTATGTGATGAAGCTACTTAGCTATGTTAACACATTCAAAATCACTTAGCACTTCAATGTATCTCATAGTCTTAAATGATGATGCCAAAATAAATTCACTAGAACTGCTAACCAAAAATGCAACCTATCACTACACTATCGCAAACAAAGCTCCCCAGAGCTAATCCTAACCTGCCCATCCTTTAACCCTCAACCCTTAACCCTCAATCTCATCAATCTCAATTCATCCGCAACAACAGCTGTAACTACAGCAGCCTTCTCCAACTCCGCAATCTTCTTCTTAACAATTGCACCAAATCGAGCTCTTGACCACTCACTCGATCCATAAACCATCAAGATATCCAGATTCGCAAGCTTTGCAGCCCGAACCTTCATATCAAAGACATTAGTCGTCGCCTCTCCCATCCAATTTGTTCCTTCCTCTGTCTTAAAGAATTTGTGCCAAATAGGTCTATTATCACCTTCCTCATAAGTCAAAACTCTACCTCTCAAAAGATCCTCGAGAACTGCCTTGCATTGCGCAACTTGTTCTTCACAAACACCCATAATTGTTACCTCCATGAGCTTCTCGCCAGAATGATCAGCACGGTACGAGTCGCCCAAATGAAGCTGGCAAGAATTCTGTGCGAAGATCTGATGTAGATTTCCTTGATTCTGGCGACCGAGTGAATCGATGATGTAGCGGGGTATCATATATTGCACTGCGATTTGATGACTAACTATTACAGGAATACTCACACATGCATTGACTGCGGTGATGAGATGACCATTGATTGCGGCGGCTGCAGCAGCTGCCTCGTGGCGGTGTCGGAATGTAATTTGGAGAGAATGCCAGGAACCCATGTTGCGATGAATGGGTTGATATGGGGAAAGTTCTCCCCAGGTTGATGCGATATGCATGAGAGTATTGATCATGTCGTTAGCTGGTACATTCCATTCTTGAGGCCATATAAATAGGACTTCAGTGTGGCTATATTCAAGATACGTTAGTATGGAGTAGGTGAGAGTGTAAATGGGTTATACGTACCTAATCTGACGCTCATATATGCCAGGTCCCGACAAATCAAGATTGCAGTGCTCTAATGTAGCCGACCAGTCTACGACTACACGAGAAAGTGTATTCGTGGCCGATCGATAGTCAGTAGTAACAGGCTCCATTACAGAAAGTCGCTTGTCCTCAGGGGGTGCTACTGTGGTCGTCTGGTTGGATAACTCGTTTGGTGGTAGAACTGGATCTGTAGGTTGAACCACAGAGGCTTGTTCAGGGTTGACAGCAGATTTGGTCGATGCTGTATGAGATATAGCAGTCAATGCCTCAACAGGAATTTTGGGTGGCATAGTGTTGTCCGTACCATTGATAGGTCCTTCAACAACAGACTGGTCAAATGGGTCGTTTGGAGTGCCTAAATCAACAGGTTGAAGTGCAGATACTGGTCGAGCATTTTTGAAATCTGATGCAATGATTAATGGTGTAGTTGATTCACATGCTAGAACGTTGGACAGCTTAGTAGCGTCGGTGCTAGCAGCTGGAGTTGTCTTGACAGGAGTAGATGAATCATCTGGGACAGTAGACATTGAAGCATCATGCGCATCATCAGTAGGTGATGGGCTTCGAGTTGCAGATCGTACCTCTTCGGAACTATCGCTCATTGGTATGGTGTCGGTTGAAGAAACATAGCCAATATCATCTGCATTGCCAACATTGGTAGAAGCAGGTGTAAGTACTTGAAAGGATGGAGTTCTGGGAGTAGTATCAGGACTCATTGATGGAGTTGTTACTGTGCCATCTGGTTGATCGTTGGAAGAATCAGTGTTGGTAGCACCAGTATTACTAGTACCGCTTGAAATGATGGTAAGCTCTGTGGGTGATAGAGCGATCTCATAAGAAACTGGATCAATTGATGGAGCAGGAATCTTGTCAGCAGGCTTTTCATAAGAAGAATCCATATCGATGGCGTTTGCGGTGCTTGAGACAGCCGGTGTGCCCATGGTAACTTGAGCTTGTAAAATTGCTGTAGTAGCACTAGAATCCTTTGATTGGGTAGCAGTTGTACTGGCAGGCTTTTCCTCAGACAATTCGACATTGGCAGCAGTTGCGGTCTCTGAAACTATTGGCGTAGTCGTGATAGATTCCGCAACTGGAAGAGCTTGGGTTATTACTCCAAACTCCTTTGGCGAGGTCTGCATTATAATCTTACTAGCAGGCTTATCCATAGATAGTTCGACATTGGTAGAACCATAGGCCTTTGAAACATTAGGTGTAGTGAGGATAACTTTAGGTTTCTGTGGACGAATTCGAGCAGAGCGAAAGTTCATCAAAGGAGCAACTGTTGTATTGGCAGGCTTTGTCTTAGACGACTTGATAGTCACAGTTTGTGTGGTCTTCAAAATCTCCGGTGTAGCCTTTGTAGATTGAGGTTGTTGAAGAGCTGAAGTAGCACTAGGAGCTACCTTTTCTGTCGGAACGGGGTGATAACTAAGACACTTGGAACCATTATTACATCCACGCCTTGAAAGAAAGTTCTTGCAAGCAGGGCGAATAGGCTCAGGGTTCTCTGCAAGAACGGTAGCTGGGTGTCCGAATCGACACTCCAATCCCCACTTGCATGTACCATTGTAGATGAAGTTCTTACAAGGGTAAGGTTGATAAGGACCTGTATGCTTGTTATGGCATTGCTCTCCAGCTACACAGCGGCCGATGGGATAATAGATACAGATACCCATTTTTTCGACTTTTTTCTGATGGTTTAATAAAGTGTTGTTGAATTCGATTTTGATAATCGGAAAATGTGGATTTTTGGGTACTTGTGAAGGTTGAAAGATAGATAAAAGGATCTTGGATTGTGGTTTGGATTTTGTTTGAATTTGGAGAATCTGTAAGAGTACTTCAAAGTCAACGGTTGAAAGTTTATGTTTTTAGAATGGTTGTGATCTTCTGGGTTGGAAATTGCTTTTCTTATATTTTCCAAGGTTCGGACCGTACTAAGGCTGATTGAAAACGAGACTAGCTCAGTACTGCAGACAGCCAGATACATGAACAAATACAGTACAGTAATGATTAAGTGCAGTAGCTGATCAATTAAGGCAGCTAATTGAGTCGAGTGATGAATTTGATCAATTACAGCTATGTGCGGCGACTAATCAAGTAACCACAAAACCAATCGGACTAAGCGAAGGGGGAGTATCGTTTCGAGAAATTGGAAATTTTGACTTTCGACGGATTTTCACAGGCAGTCGAATGTGAGATAGCCTGGAACATTAAAAACATTTTTCGCCGCGAAAATCTTGCCAGAACAGTGGTATTCGTAAAATTGAGAACAGGACATGAACTTTGCTTGAGATGCGTCTCTCTTTGTCATCCACTATTCGCTTTCGATGCCCACTCCCCCGTGAAAAAGAAGCAAGGATTGTCGTAATAACATAGCACAGCTAACATAGTAGAGGTTCGGAGCTAGTATTGGAGGTCTGAAATTACCCCCTCTCACCCAAATCTAAATTATCGATCGTATAGTAGTAGTGCCGGCGGGATATCTGAGTTCCGGTTCAAGGTCTCATGAGCTTCTGAGCCCTCGAAATATCCCCTGGCATGTATTTGCAACAATGTGAAAGTAAATGAGCGTGGGCGGAGACAAGATGAACATCACTTAAGACTCATCTCAAGAACTTGAATTCGCTTCAGTTGTTGGTTCCAAATTCACGAGTTAGGTGGTGGTTCTGAGAATTTGCTATTGCTTGGATGGTGGAGGTAGAAACCCAAGTTACTACCGGTCTGTACGTGATCAAATTCCACTTGATACTGTTGATAGAATGCCGCCCTTTCATTGTCATCTGAAAAACTAACATCAATGACAATAAAGAAGAAAGAAGAAACGAAAGAGAAAAAAGAAGAAATGAAAAGAAGATGCATGTATAAGACACCAATCTAATAAACGAAATATTTGAATGGTCGAGGAAACTTACTCTCTGCCCTGCGCGATGTTTCTTTTAATTTCTTAATTCGGTTTGAAAACTTCATTAACAGCCTAGACTGTGGATAAATCTACCGGAATGGATAGAAAACAAGAAGATGAACACAGTTCTCTTGTGGCACCCTTCATCTGTACGCCCAGCTTCACTCAACCAAATTTATATATGGAGGAACCAGCCCCTTCTTCAAGACCATGATACTTTTGATTAAGCTCGTCGCCTGCGATGCCACTCTTAATTGTTCAATGCTCAGAACCAACCTATGTATCAAAGTATTTCTGTCTGCATTTGCTGAACACAGGTGAGATTGACGAAAGCTCTGCATTTTCACCTTGATAGAGTTCAAAGTCAGTTCTTTCCTCTCCAAACAAACGCTTCTAGGCACACAAGGGGTTGATATCATTAAGTGCCCACACCAAAAACTCAAGCGAGCATCTCAAAAGTCGCGATAAAACAGACTTCATGTTTCCATAAATTTCGAAGGTGTGATTTTAGGCATCTTGGATTATTCACAGGATAGATCCAGTGATTACACGTGTGAACTGGCCAATGAGATGAATGTCAAGGGTCAGCTAGCGATCGCGTAAGCTCTAGCACTTTTAGAGCTTGAGTTCGATGCAGTTTACATCTTCACATGCCATGCCAAGTTTATACGATGTCTAACAAGCTTCAATAGGAAGGGAAAAGAGTATATCTTTCGACCCGAATCAGGCTGGCCATTGGTAATGCCTATCTAATTAGTGCTAACTTGGTCCTAGGAACCGTATTATATATTGCCAGCATTCAGATAGATAGCCTCCTTGAAAAGATCTGGCGCGCATCGATAGCTGTTCATAACGACTAATCATGACATCATTTCCAGACAACATTCCCTCGTCAAAAGATGCAAGTGTTACATCGGCTACTTCAGACCCTATCACTACTCCCTCGAATACTCCTACCCAAAATTTTGATGAGAATAACAAAAGCAAAAAGAAACATGACGGCTCCAGACCACGAATCCCACCACGAGAATGCGCCATAATTTGCAGATATCGACATAACTAATGAAGCTTCTCTCGACACTCCTCCGGAAGTTGAAACTCATAATTCCAATCACATGACCAATGGACAAAATGAAGATGAGTTTGGTGAATGGCTTACCAGTAATAAATTGATCGCAATATCAATTGCTTTTGGAATAGCAAATATTATGGTTGCATTAGACAGCAGCATATTAGGTATCATCCGACTATCCCTCAACACATTTCACCTACGAAAAACACTCTAACAATCACACTTCTACTATAGCTACTGCATTAACCAACATATCATCCGAATTCAAAGCAGTCAGTGATATCGGATGGTATGCCAGCGCCTATCTTTTAGCACAGACATCATGCCAACCCGTGTTTGGGAAGATATGTACTTGCTTCGAGGTCAAGACAACGTATCTTACTAGCCTTCTTGTTTTCTGTACTGGCTCGATTCTTTGTGCTATAGCTCCTGTCTCTTCATGCTTGATTCTTGGGAGAGCAGTGACTGGGCTTGCTGCGACGGGAATTCTCACGGGAAGCTTGTAAGTTACTACTCCCGGTTTCTCGGATCAAAGATTTGAATCGATGCAAGCACATCGCGCGTCTCTATATTGAGTATCTTTCAAAATGGAGACTAAGGTGTTGATATCCCAGCTTTAAGTACCGCTGTGTCTGACATCACTTTTCACAGAGCTATTTTTGGCCGTGTGGTTCCTCTATGACATAGGCCGCAAGGAATGGCAATCATGGTTAGCATTAGTAGCATTGTATCAAGGATAGGTAGCACTGTCGGTGGTGTTCTTACAGATTCGGTCCTGACCTGGAGATTTTCCTTCTGGTTGAATTTACGTATGCTATGCTTTCCTACAATATCATCAATAAAAATGAGCGCTCGGACTTGTCTGTAGTCTCGTAGTCTATTACATCCTAGATCGCAAGCCTCACCCTGATCACCAATTGCCCATTTCCACGAAGCTATTGAAGCTAGATCCTCTTGGGTTTATTTTGCTACTTTCAAGTATGACCTGTCTTTTTGTGGCGGTTGAATTCGGTGGCATATCTGTCTCATGGTCGAATTCAAAAGCTTGGGGATCTGTACTAGGATTTGGACTTCTTGGGATATCTTTCATCATTCTTCAAGGATACCAAAAAGAAAAGTGAGAATCTTGATACTCCTGATACTCTGCTCTTCCTTGCGGGACTAGCATGCTAATAGACCAAAGAGCCGTAATTAGTCTTCAAACGATGCGACAGCAAACAGTCGCAATCTGCTACATGTTCTCATTCGCATACGGACTCGCCATCACGACCCATACTTGGTTATTACCAACCTATCTTAAAGGTGTAAAGTATTTCTCGGCTTCTATATCCGGGCTTCCAGGATTATCGCTCTCCATACCCATGACGGTTTTTAATTTGGTAGCTGGCTTCTTAACAACGCGTTGTGGCCATTACGTTCCATTTATGTGGGCAGGAGCATTAATATATGTAGCTGGGAGTGCGCTTCTATATCTGCTCACAACAGATAGTGGTATGGGGGTTTACATCGGCTATTCAGTTACCGCGGGAATAGGATGCGGAATGGCATTTCAAGTTACTTTTATTGCAAAATAAGTAGTTATTTCGCCAGCTGAAATGGCGCTCGCATGCAGCATGGAGGTTTTATTTCGACAGCTTGGAAGAGCTATAGCGATCAGTATTGCTGAGAACATCTTCCTATCATCAACAGCTTCTTTCACAGAGTACCGATTCAATCCCCAAAAGTGGCATTCGTGAGTTTGCGATGTTGAGCCAAACTCTTCCTTCAACAGAGAAATAGGAGGTCAAGAGTCTCATTAGTTACGGCGTTGAGCAGGCTTTCATACTACCTTTGACTGCTAGTTGCGTTGCCGCTGTTGCAAGCTGGGGAATGGAACGAATCAAGATTGAAGACGAAAATGAGAGAGCAATGGCCCAAAACATTGAATTGGCTTGACAAGCTGCGCAAAGTAGAGCTTATCGACAAGGTCTGCCAGATCTTCTCGTGTCTGCGTCCCCACTTGAAAGATGAGTAGCACCTGAGAGGGTCACGAAAGTAGCCGTGTTCTTATGCGGTTTCTCTTTCGTATGCAAAATCGGTACGGGTATCTGGATCGACGCCGGGATACTGGTCAATGAACGGAATTGAGTTAGGTTTGGATCCTGTACATTGGTGCAGTCTCCGAGTACAACTGGGGGATAAACAAAAAATTTCAATCTAGAAAAGTGGTAACACGCGTATCATTGAGATCTCTTCCTACGCCTAAAGATGCATTGTTCGCACCACAATTGTGTGTAAAAGCTAGAGCAATCTGATACAAATGACTCTAGTAACCCCTCTCACATTAACTATTTGCATCCACGTCATTCCAAACGAACTAAAACAATCCGACAATACCCAATAAATTCAAAATCAACTAGCCAAATCTAAAACACAACACCGACCCCGAATCAACTTGACTCAACCCGGAAGTGCATGTTATCCAAATGAAAGCCAAGTTCTGGAAATCTCAAGTCCATTACATTTCATCAGAAAACAAAAAAAAAAGCAAAAAACCAAGCCCACCAGTGAGTGTACAAACCAACGGGACACTGCCAAAATGAACTTGTGAATATCTCTTGATATATCAAATCATTTATCTTAGAAATTCACCTATCCCTATTCATTAAAGATGTAATGATCAAAACATCTTAATATCAAATGATTGAAAGAATGAATCTTTAAAAATTTCGAATGTTGGGAGGTGTCCCGTCAATTCATGCACTCACTGGTGGCCCACTAGGACCACTTCTCGCACTCCCCAGATCATCCTCCCAAGCCTATCTATCGCGCTGTATGAATATACATCTCACAAGGCCATTCCCTATCTCGATTCGATTCGATATTCAACCAACCCATCGTAAATTCATGCATAATTATCTTTTCCATTGGACTACGCTCTTTAACTTCCCATTTTTTCCCCTCACCCGCCCATCCACCCTATCCCTCATTTCCTCCAGATAATCCACACGCATCTAATTCAACCTCAGCTCAACTAAACAAACACGCCGCTCGTTAAAATATGTAAAGGCAGAGGTAAAGGTATCTGAACATTCTCGCGCATCCTGTTGGATATCACATCATAGCATATCATACCATACCATACAATACAATCTCGCTTCCCCCTTTCCACCATTCAACAAATTTTCGTTCCCTTTTCCATTTCTGAAGATTTCGTCAAAAAACATTAGTCGCTGCCTATTTACCCTCACCGCCATTCATCCACATCCACATCTCTTTTAAGCCAAACTCAATCTCTCCAATCTTCCCTTCGTCGCCTCCACCAAAGCCGTCTCCCGATCCAACAACTTCATAATCTGCCCCACTTTCTTCCTTCTCAATTCAGACGGAACCTGCACATCCCTCGCTGAATCATCCTTCTCCTCTGCTTGCTCCTCATCTCTCTCCCTCTCCGCATCCTTCACTAATTCATTCGCCTGACTCAAAACCTCATCCTTAAGTTCCTTCACCTCTTCATACCTCTGCCAAGGATCCTTCGAGACCTTCACCATACTCTCCGTTGACCCGTCCATATCTTCGCCCAATACCTTTCCACCGAGGCTCCTCACCTCTTCTATCCACGCTTTCTCTTTATCACTCAGTTCTCTCTGCGTATTTTTAGGAATCTTCCTCCTAATTTCTTCGATTCTTTCATTGAGAATCTTCTGTTTATCCCTTGCTTCCTGAATTCTTCGTTCCATTTTTTCATTTGATGCCACTCTAGGGTTATCATCATCTACATCTACATCCTCGCCAATGACAGATTCCACACGTGTTGCGATTTCGTTAGCTTGTTTAATATGTTTTGAAAGCTCAATCTGAAGTTTGATACATTTTCTGAACAGTTCTGCAGCTGCGGTGCCGATGCGATGAGTTTCTTCGCTGAGAACTTTATGGGCGTCTGTCATGACCGTAAGTGTAGCTGGCGATAATCTGATCTCTTCCTTCAACAAACGCTTGTATTTGCTATGTTTGATCTTTTCATGAAGAGAGGGCAATTCGGATGGTTGTTCAAATGCATACGATGGTTGGTACACAGGTCGAGCTTCGAATAAGACGAGAGGTTTATCATTGTCAGTTTCGGAGTCGTATGATTCTGAGCGACCACGGCTACGGTTGAAATCCAGTTGAAACTCGGGTGATTCAAAGTTGATAGATAATGGGCCATGAGCGTTTGCGGAGAGGAGAAAATAGCCAAGATCGGGATCTTGAATAATTGTGCTGGCAGCAAGAGGGGCATTCTTGTCAACCATGGATGGCGTATAGACCCTTTGCCTTTCTGAAGGGGTACTAACAACTACACCAAGTCGAACATTAGACTCCGCGCCTTTGGACAATTCTTCCTCGAGCTTGAAAACCCATGGAGAGAGTGACATGTATGTGATGTTCGAATTGTTGGTAATGAAGAACGAATATCTTGATTCGACATCATGACTAAAAACTGGCCAACATCCTTCCCAAACCTCATTGGGTTTGGAAGTTTCCAAAACTTCATATGTCAACAAGACAGGCGGGTCCGGGTCGTCCAGAAATCGTAGCATCCTTGAATTCGATCTCGGTAACCATTGAGCTTCAATTCCAACCAAGTCCAGGCAGATTGAAAGGCGCCCAGTAGTTGTAAGCAAACAAATCACGCTCATAGAACATCCCTCTTTATCGACCTCATCTAATTCAAGCTCATCATCCTCCTCTCCACCCATGAGCTCTTCAGCATCCAGCTTTGGTCCAATGACATAAATATCGCTGAAAAGTTCATCATCCTCGTCATCCTCAAATTCGGGAGCCATCTCAAAGTCGAATGGACCTTGTAATCTTGGTACCTTTCCAGGTCTAGAAGGCCTTGTGTAAACCTCAATTGGCGGCTCACCCAAAGATCCTTGAACCTGGGTTGGATCTTGATTATCGATATCCGTCATCCAATCCAATTGTTGTTGCGCGAGGAGTTTACTACCTTGAGTTACAGTTGGATCATCTTCGATAGCGGCGATATTGGACACAATCGATATTGAAAGTGAAGGAATCAGGGTGGGTGGTGGAGCCCATTTTTCAGGCAACAATGGGCAGAGAGCATATACATCTCCTTCTCTCATTGCAAGCCAAAGAGTCATAGGCGACCAACCTCCCGATCCTCTGCCTGCAAAACAGGCTGATGCTACCTCCATCTCAAAGGCATCCGGAGAAAACTTACTTGGTTGACCAGCCACGGAAGCTCCAAAATCTTGATCAGCCGAGACTCCATCCACCAATTTCTTCAGATCGACCACAAGAGTTGGTTTATCGAAAGACCAACGATCGGTTGTAGACAATTCCCATACCCGAACAACGGCATCTTTTGTAATTGTGACCAAACATGTTCCATTTACACCCAATGGATGCCACAGCGCAGTCGATATTCCGGATCGTGAAGTAACATGTGTAGTTGGACCTAAGTGAAAAGTCTTGATCTTCATAGGACCATTATCGGGAGCTGTGAGATGCGAGGGTTCAGGTAAGATTGCGACATGTACGGTATGAGTTGTCAAGATCGCCATGAAATTCGAGTTGGGGGAAATAATCAGCTGTTGGATTTCATCTGCCACGGGAATTTTGAGTGTCTGCAGAACATTAGCACTCAAATCCAATGACGGAAGCTTCAAAACTTACTCTATACCCCCGAGCAACATTCTCTTCAGCTTCAATCTCCCCTTCAGCTCGTGATTTACCTTTCAAGAAGCTCCTTTGGTTCTCTTGTTTATTTTCCCATGTCTCCTTCAAGTAAACAAGATCCGCCCATCGAATTTCCTTTCCAACAGCAATGAATACCTCGGTACCTCTACGCGCAATCGTTTTCTTCGGTCCCAGCTTATTCCTTTTCTTCCCATTCGGACTATAACTAGCTCCAGAAGCTGTTTGAGTGCCTGTCGGTTTCGCCGTAAATATCTCATGGCCTGGATTTGGCTTTGAAAGCCATGTAGGTGTGTAACCAAGAACTTGAGGCATTTTTCAAACCCTGAGCTCGATATTATTATTTTGAAGAATCAGCACATTCGTAGAAGCTCGATATTGAAAAGCAACTTGTATGTTGCGACGAAGAGAAGTGAATTGAGTCTGGAACTTTTTTGAGGTTGAATGGGTTTAACATCAGGCTATGCTAGCGCGTCGCGAAAGCTTGGTGCATGCGGGTAGGTAATTGGAAGCCTTCTGTGTTGTAAATGTTCCCCAGGAAACAAAGAAATCCATCAGCCTTGTAGAAAATTGGATTGTAAAGAAACAACAAATTTCTAAAAATGCCTGGATCAATTAGAAATACTGTGGATAGGCTTGATAAACCAAGTGCCTATTATCAAGGTAGAGTGAGTTATGCAATTGTTATTGCACTCGGCGCAGAAAGAGCTCGACTAACAATTTGGTCTAGAATAAGAAGCGCAGATATGAGAGAGATGGAGAGGACGAGAGAAGAGAACGAACTCCAGAGGAACCAGCAGATGATCCTTTAAAAGACGCGACAACACTTTATGTTGGAAATTTGTATGTCAAAATGCATTCAATGTTCTCAATCGAGCTGTTTTGAATCAATCAATGGGCTGGGGCATGGCTTGAGGCATGAACTAACAATTTGTCTACAGATCCTTCTACACAACTGAAGAACAAATTCACGAACTATTTGCGAAATGTGGTGAAATCAAGAGATTGATTATGGGATTGGATAGATTCAATAAGACGCCTTGTGGGTTTTGTTTCGTGGAGTATTATACTCACCAAGATGCACTCGACTGCATGAAGTATATTGGCGGTACGAAGCTCGACGAGAGAATCATTAGAACAGATTTGGATCCAGGATTTCAAGAGGGAAGACAGTATGGACGTGGAAAGTCTGGCGGCCAAGTGCGCGATGAGTACCGTGAGGAATATGATGAGGGGAGAGGAGGTTTAGGTAGAGCTATTCAAGCTGAAAGACAGAAAGAAGAAGAAGAATATGGCAAGGGTAGATAGTTTATTGGAGAGTTGGACGATTGTACGATATTTTGCAGTACTTGGGAGGCGTATAAGGAACTGCGGTGATTCATTGATATCAGAATAGTGAGCCGCATTTGCATAGTAGGGAAAATTCTTAGGATTCTAGCCATTCCAGAGCACTGAACTCATGCCCTTTCATCCTTTTTCTCGTATACACATATCCCAAACGCCATCAATGCATATTGTACATCAATTCTTCCGATGAGAACTCTTTCCATTGAGTCCATCCAAATATATCCATATCAATAACCGGGAGGATTGAGTCGTTGTGATAGTCTCGTCCATTTAGGAAGCTCTGCAGTAATATCAGTAAGCTGACTCTCTCTAAAAAGGCGCATCTGCCAAACGTACTGTGAATTCCCTTCCTATATTTCTTCTCTTTGCGATCAAAGATTGTGTATTTATCTTTTGGTAACATCTCCTGCTCCGTAGGCATTTCCTCCTTCCACCTCTCCACAGCCTTTGTCGTAATCCCCTTAGCAGCCAAAGCTCTATCCACAGTAGCAACCACCGAATCGACAGCCCTTAAACGTTTGCGCTGCCGTGCCTTTTGGAATTTGGAGAGTCGCCATGGGATCTTCCTAAATCGCACCACCATTAGCACATCGCCAACCTCGAAATCATACCAGAAAACAAATCAAACCATACCAAAGAAGACCGCCAGACATAACGTTCGTAGGTCGAAAAGCTCCAAACATTGCGTTGTTTCCTTCAATGTTCTTCTAATCGTACCTCCTCACCCCATCAATCAATCCTCTTCAAAATTCAAGAATCGGTCGGCCCCTCCGCTCCGCGCCAAGCCTTAAATTCCGCGAACCAATCAGCATTCACATCAAGACCTCAACTCTCTAACGTCCATCATTGCTTCACCTGCAAATGCGCATACCAAAATGTCGTATTATTTCGCAATCGTCGGAACGCAGGATAATCCTCTCTTCGAATATGAATTTGGAACTGCAAAACAGGGCGGTGATGGAATTGCCAGGTTTCCGGAACAGGCGAGACATATGAATCAATTTATTGTTCATAGTAGTTTGGATATTGTCGAGGAGGTGCAATGGGGTGGTGGACAGATGTATGTGATTTATTTCTGGACGAGATGCGACTGGACCAGAAACTAATAATATGCTTCGTAGGTATCTGAAATGCATCGATCGATTTTACAATAATTACGTATCGTGCTTCATGACGGGCGGAAGTGAGTTGATTCTTTTCCTCCTGAGAATATGTATCGGATGGTGCTAATATATGCAGATGTTAAATTCATGCTTTTACATTCTCCCTCTCAACCTGCAAACCCAACGACTTCGAGAACCTCTACATCGATCGGGGCGAATCCTACTTCGCCTCAGACAGAAGAGGCCATTAAGCAATTCTTTACAGAAGTTTATGAGAATTGGGTGAAAACGATTATGAGTCCATTCTATCATGTCAATCAACCCGTTACGAGTCCGGTATTTAGGGGACGAGTTGCGGCGGCGGGGAAGAAATATTTGTGAGGAGTGTTCAGAGGGAAGTATGGAGGAATCATTATAATTATTACATCGAGTGTATGCTCTTCCGTGAGTGTATTTTGGTGCGACGAAGAGCAGAAGCGCGAGGAACAAGTTCGGGATTTTTGGTCTGGATGAAGACTATAGTCTCGGGATATATCATATCACATGGAGGATGATCTTACGAACAGTAGTTGGTAGCACATTACGGAAGCCATCTACGCTACCGTGTGGCCCAGGACTTCTCCAGAAGTCCTAGGCTAGAGATTTCGTCAATTAGATCTCACGATCAGGAATTTAGTGAGAGGTTTCACTGCGCGCAAATGGACCGGAGTATGGTAGTTGAAAAATATCTCAGGCTTTGATGGGATTTCTTTGCTTGCTCTAGTCCTTCGTCATACAACAGATACCTTAGTACGGTTTAGATTCTCTTATTGGAGACTACTCGAAACCTCCTCATCAAAGATGGTGGTCAGGGCCATACTTTGATTTGGGAACTCGGGCTCATTACTTTTGAGTCCATACGTGCGGGGCTTGTGGTTTACGAAGCTGGAAGAAGTACGTATAATGGGACGCGATGGGAATTGATAAGATAGCTCACGAACATTCCCCAAAGATAAATACTACAGAAACATAGTAATAGATATAATATAATATTCCAAAACGAGCATTATGTATCTCAGCAAATTGTCAGTAGAAATCGCGATGTTTTAAAGAGTGTCTAGGTCTTATGATGTGATTGTGAAAACTGGCGGTAAGAAATACTTAGTATCTAGTAGTCTCTTCCTAACTCGGTACTACTAGATATTCATTATCCTCTGATAAAGTTCAATGAATCTTAGATGGCACTCTCTATTTAAATAAAAGCAAAGCATGGTTGAATTATCTAGTAGTTTCATGAATGTGCCAACTCGTGCTATCTTGCATTCTAGTTATGTTAAGGTTCAAATACACAATGTAATTGTAATTTTGAAAGTATGCTTGCGATTTGAGTAACGCGATTGTTTCGATAAATGAGTGACTGTGGCTGTTTAGATGGAGTATCTATGGTTGGGAAGATGGGAGCTGGAAGTCTTGGGTTTGATGATTGTTTGGGTTGACTTTGGCTCTTGAGTTAGGGGGTTGGGGGTTATGATGGATGTATGGTAAATGGATCTAAATCGATACTTTAAGACATGAATGGATTCGTTGGATGATAATTTGTATGGAGTCGGGTATGTAGATTATCAATGTACCTACCTAGAAAGTAGTAATGCTAGATCTGACGCGTAGGAAATGGTAGTCTCGTGAAGATGACTGGATGTTCAATATCATTCATGGTTTTAATACTTAACCTCCTCTTTCTAAGATAGTAACAGGGTTAGATAACTCTTGATAAATACAATACTGATGTATCTCAAAACACGTCCTTTGTATTGTCATTCAAACAGAGTTAATATTTAATTCGATCAATACCTAACAATGAATCAATGATATCAATATCAATCATTAGGTACCTGGGTATGTATCTTCATCTTCATGATCACCCAAGTACTCGCTTATCGATGCACCCCTGGAACTAAGGCGAAGTAACGATCCGCCGCATTTTAGACTTATGAGGGAGGAGCTATGGATGGTCGGGACTCGTACAGCCGTAAGTCAAAATGCTCAGGTGTGTGTTCAAAAGCACTCACCATAATCGAGTCGAAAGAACAAGATTGAATTTTTTCTATCATTTTCCTCGGCAATCACACCCCCAGTCCCTTTCTCACCTTTTTTTAGATAATATAATAATAAATAAGTTAACTAACAACCCATTTCCATTAATTTCTCAAATGGTACTAGCGTCAAAATTCCCATTTTCCAGATCACTTGTTTTCTGATCAAAAACCAACAAATCCCCTCTTCCCACTGATTCCAATCTTTTATTTCAACAACTTCATATCCCGCCGCTACTTCAGCCTTTGTGATTTTAATTACTTCGAAATTATCATCAATACATCCCATCGTCTTATTAAAGACGCGTTTTATTATCACACATAATCACATCCACTTCTTAATAGCTACTTCATCATGACTGGACGTAAGTTTATTCCCTTTTCTTCTTGAATTCGTATGTGGAAGTTGAGATTGTTGTTGTTGTCGGTCGCGATAAGGTACCCACATCTTGATGATGTCGAGATACCTACCTACAACAATAATTATCTTACTTCAACAATATATCATCACTTCAATCATGGTTCAATATGCTAATGACTTTCTTCTATAGGCGGAAAGGGCGGAAAGGGTCTCGGAAAGGGTGGTGCTAAGCGTCATCGTAAGATTTTGAGAGACAACATCCAAGGTATCACCAAGCCAGCCATTAGACGTCTCGCTCGTCGTGGTGGTGTCAAGCGTATTTCTGCCAGTAAGTTTTATCCAATTCTATCCCGTCGCGTCTTAGTCTTCACGACTTTGATGTGTGGTCATTGCTCCAAAGATTTATTTACTAACGCGTCCGTCAACAGTGATCTACGAAGAAACCCGTGGTGTTTTGAAGACCTTCCTCGAGGGTGTCATTCGTGATGCCGTCACCTATACCGAACACGCCAAGCGCAAGACCGTCACTTCCCTCGACGTCGTCTACGCTTTGAAGAGACAAGGCCGTACCCTCTATGGTTTCGGTGGTTAAACATCTCTTCACTACCATCTTTGTCATGACATCATCTCATACTCTTTCACATACGCGTCGATACAATACAATTTCGATTATGGTTCTCGGGGGAATTGAGATGGGCTTATGTTACTTTTGATAGTCTCTCTAGACGGTCTAGCATGCTGTTTACGGCAGGGTTTCGCCCGTTCATGATTCGTTGCGTGAATCATTCATTTCGACTTTCGATGGCGTTTTCTATCACACTCTGGTCTCGACATAACGATACTTTCCACGAAGCAAAAACTTTTTGATAGTCTATACCTCTGCTTTTGCTTTGGTGTGTAAGACAGTCTAGCATCCTGTTTACGGGAGGAGTTTTCCTGGAACATTTATTGTTTTGTAGCGACATTTTTGATACCCCGCGGTTTGGGATTTGTGAAGGAGGATCTCATGATTAATGGCATGCATGCATACATTACCTTTTTGTCTTTTTTGAGCAAACCTGTTTAGCTTGTTAGCTGGTTGGCGTTTCATGGGTTTTTTCGCCCTGGTACTAGACGGGTTGTCTAGAGGGTTGAGGGATGGTATGGATTGGGGATGTGGGATCACGATCGAGCAGTTGTGTTTAGACGCATACATAGCATACGAGTGAAATTATATGGTCGTGGACCTGATTTGTAGTATTTTTGATGTTTTTGATTGTTGTGAATGTGATGTGATGTATTTTGAACTATTGGAGAATGTGTAGTATGATTGGAGGAAAGTTCAGTTGATGGTAGATTAATCATGGTTAGAGGAAATAGATAATCGACTAGCTGGTGGGCAAGTGTCATCTGTCTTTTTTCTATATCATATCACATCATGTTTACGTACGTACGTACGTATGCATAAAACATTCTTGCATCTTGGATTAGTAAAATGAACCCGTACCACCGCTTTGTTTCCATGCGGAGGTTGCTGTTGAATTATTTGATTGTTTGATTATTGATATCTAGTGAAGTACTCGAAGCGAAGTGGGGGGGGGGGGTGATGGGATGATGGGATTTGGTGAGAGATGGGAGAGATGGGAGAGATGGGAGATAATAAAAGGATGAGAGTTGAGAGAGATACTGGAGAGAGGTGGATGGTTAGGGAGGGTATAGGAGTTAAGGGGGTTCTTGAGGAGTGAGGCGCAAGGTTATAAATTATAGAAATGATTTCGGATACATAAATCTAAGTAATGATTAGTCTTATTGTTATTGCTCTTCATCCTTCTTCTCCTTTCCTTTTCTTTCTCATATTTGAGTCGCAAGAGACATCATCTATTTGGATATTTTATTTATTGATAATTCTAGGGATATTAAATGCCTATTTAGTAGTTAGGGAAATGGTGTGAGTATTGTAATGTTAGTTTTTGCTCTTTTTCTAAAAGGTGGATATGTGAATAGGGGTGAAGATGAGTGGATAGGAGAAGGAGGAAGGACTTCTTCTGTGTTTGTATTGTATTTTGTTTTTGTAGTCTAATGATAATTTATAGTACTAATATACTACTACTAGGCACTTATTAAAATCACGCCTAAAAAGCCATTTTATTACTTTTATTATAGATAAAATCAATAACTTTAATTAAATATTTTTAATTAAATTTTAATATATATATTATTTTAACATTAATAGTTAATGAAATTATAGTAATTAAAACACATACTCTTTCAATTCTTTTAGATTGTTAATTATATCATTTAAAAATCTATTTATAAAAGTTTATGATTTTCGCTTATTTTACTAATAAATTTTAATATTTTGAAGATCTTTTTTTCTTTTAGTTTTAACTTATTATTCTTGAATATAGAAAATTATTAAAAATAAATTATATAATTTGTAACAAATTTCATTTTGATTTTAATTTAATTACACAATTATTTATATAAACTATTGGTTTTATAGTTTAAAAATTAGAAGTATATTTTGTAAGTTTTAATAAATTTTGATGTGATTTTGATAAGTGACTAGTAGTAGTACACGATGACTATAAATAGTAAGATACATCGATTCTGAATGAGTTCTAAGCATTTATTCAATAAGTATCTCGGTTTATATTATTATTTATAAATTCTATTTACTGATCATCCTAAGAATATCAATCAAGGAAAGATTGCGGATACTATTTATCATATTAGGCTTTGCTATTTCTTCCTTTGAATGAAAACTAGATACATCTGTGGGCGGGAGTAGGAGGAGGAATTTCTCCTTTGTTTGTGTGACATTATTTCATAACTACCTGTATTGAATCTATTTTTCGATCTCTACTTCCATTTCCATTTCTATTTCTACATCTAAATCTATTATTTACAAATCCAACTCATCAACAATCCCAAAAACACTAACCGAGGAAATATATTAAACTTCACAACATCAGTCTTCACCAGTTCCTCCTTTCCCTCAAAAATAAACATGGGTGGGCGGGGATGGGTGGGGAGGGAGGAGGAACTTCCTCTGCGTTCCTAATATAATGTTTATGTTGTATTTTGTTTTTGTAGTTCAATAAATATTATATCAATTCTAACCCTAAATCCATCATCCACAAACCCAACTCCCCAACAACCCCGCAAACATCAACCAAGGAAACATATTAAACACCACAACATCAGTCTTGATCATTTCTTCCTTCCCCTCAAAAATAAACAATCCCCACACAATACAAAACGCAAACGGAACGACGAAATCATGAAATTTCTCATGAACCCCTCGTTTGTAAAGTCGGAAGAGTAGAATGACGGGGAGGAGGAGTATGCTTGCGTTTAGGAGATTCGATATGAAAGGGTTTTGGGGGCATGTGAGGAAATTTGGTGTGAGGAGGAGTGCTTGTGGCTGGGATGAGGTTAGTGGGAGAGGAAAGAGGGGATGGGAGAGGAAAGAGGAACTTGCGAGGAGACGCGGGTAGAAACGGTTGATGTTACGGTGGCTAGATATGAGGAGGGAGGAGAATGTGGTGAGGAATTCGAGAGGTAGGGAGGGCATGGAGGAAGATGGTGATTTGGATGAGTTAGTGGAATGCGTGGGATGCATGAGTGATGCTGTGTGAGAGATAGATTGAGGTAAGAGTTGACTTGAACGGAGTCGAAGAGAGTGAGCATATGAGAGGTGGATTGTGGTGCGAGAAGACTTGGACGGAATTCTAGAGAGTGGGCGTTTAGGATAGATTAAGTAAATGATATCGAATCGCTGAATGCTGGTCTAATGGCCATTGATGATGGAACATATTCTCAGAAATCCACTGGGTTATATATGTGTATATGTATGAGAATAATAACTGGGTAAAAGGATTCTTGCAATCTCACGACAACCGCTGTGGTATAAAGAGCTCACGCTTTTGTATCGAAAGGTATATTCGATAAAAGAAGAAGCATCCAGAACCATAGTTCAAGTAAAGCGGTGTCATGACTTGAATTGTAAGGATGTTCATCCTTTATTGATGTATGTGATGGTGGTTTTTGGACAAGTTAAACTGAGTAAGTATTAGATACCTAGCTATGAAATTCGTAAATTTTTTGATAAGTTTGTCCTTGTTATTGCTTTGTATCATACGACATGTAGTATTGTTGTGTAGAAGCATATAAATTCTAGTTGGGGAACTCCATCTACCCCAGATTTAGCTGATATGAAGTAAAACAAATACATATTACCTCAAACTAACGTTCCAAATTACGAAAATATCTGCTTGATTCTTCCCCAGGCTTCTGCAGGAGTAACAAACGCCGAGGTTGCACGGATTTCCAGATGCGGAAGGTACAGCAAACAAATTACACTTCCCAACAATACTCAGCAAGATTGAAAAAAGTCAAGGTCTAGGGAGATTTCAAAATCCTTCAAAAAATGTATGAGGTATTTCATGATAGAAGGAAGAATGGAATTTTTCTCATGTATAGTAAAATGAAGTTTTGCACGTTTTTGATAATGGGATGTTCGATTGGGACAGGGGGCTTACTTCGGTTAAAATCATTGGTCGGGGAATCTTCCAGGGGATCTCTTTCTTTTCTTCTAATATGAGGCATTTTCCAATATCCAATGCATTTTCCAACAACCGCCAAAAAATTTCATTGATAACTCGAAACTATAAGGGAAATGAAATTGAGAATTTTAGTAAGGAAATCGAGGGGCTGAGTCGCTCGCTGGAAACTGGGAATTTTACATTAGCAAGTGCAAATTGTAATATTCATAATGTAATGCTACAAACAGCGGGATGTTTGAGAATTCCAATCAGGCTGCGTGCCAGTTCTTTGGTCTCCATACTTCGATGGATCATATGGGTATCAGCCGCTTTTTTTCTTTGCTTTGAAAGTATTCAACTTGTTGATTTGTGGGGAGTTAGTATGAGCGATTTATCGTCATGTAGTTTATCCATGACGCATAGCAAGATTCTATCAAAAGGCGGAATGCAAATGTGATAGGGGATAATTCCTATTCTGGATGCATTCACTACCTACTTACGTCTAATCTCGAGTATCTTTTCAGCTTAGCTGTCCACGGGTCTGTCAGCCCTTTCGAGGTGGAAAAATGATGAGATGTGATCAGATGAAATGGGGGTCTCTACTTTTGTCCAATATGCATATATTGATCCCTTCGACTGAGCGTAAGAGTATAAGTTCATAAATCTCTTGACATCTTAGACATTGAGATAGGGTATCCTATCTTCTGCGCTCAGCATCACCCAATCAAGTCACTTTCCTCATTCTCGACTTCTCATCGATTACCTGCGCATAGAACGATTTCTACCACACACAACCCCTTAAGTGGTGGTTACTTGACAAAGATGTTAGAAGATGGAGAAAAAGAGCAATTTCATCGCCGTATTCATTACGCTGATGTGGAATCTGGATTCAAAGTCTCGTCACCTCTAGAGCGAAGCAATTCTAGAGTCTCAACCGATCATGATAGTTTAAGTATTCGACCTCACAGGCGTTCATCAATTGAATTATCATCGGCACTTCCTATCCAATACAGAACGGTCTCGTTCCAAATTGCAGGATCCCAAGAAAAAAATGCCGTGGAGGTACAACTCGCTAAAAAATCAGCAGCAAAAGGTTTGTGTTTCCATACTTGAGTTTATATCACGATGCTGACATTTTCTTAAGCACTTGCTGATCTGGATTGGCATCTAATTACACCGGATGAAGTTCTTAAGCGCCTATCAACATCGACATCTCAAGGTCTTTCGAAAGAACAAGTAAACCGAAGACTATCGCAATATGGAAAAAATTCACCATCTCATCCTCCAAATCGTCTCTTTCAAACTTGGTTCGGTTACTTCTTCAAAGGCTTTGGATCCATTCTCCTACTCGGTGCTATCCTCGTTTTTATTTCCTGGAAACCTCTCGGAGACCCGCCTGCACAAGCAAACTTAGCACTCGCAATTGTTCTCCTAGCTGTCTTTTTCATACAGGCAGCTTTTAATGCATGGCAAGATTGGTCTTCATCCAGAGTCATGGCTTCAATTACTACTATGTTACCTGATAATTGTTTTTTATTGAGAGATGGAGCTCGTGTCACTGTTATTGCCAACGATATTGTTCCTGGAGATGTTCTTTATATTAAAGCTGGTAATAAGCTTCCTGCTGATGTACGATTTATTGAAATGTCTTCGGATGCAAAGTTTGATCGTTCCATTCTGACCGGTATTTTCCCCAAATCTTCGCACGCTTCCTGATACTAATTGGTAAATTAGGCGAGTCACTTCCACTTTCTGGAATGGTTGACAATACAGATGAAAATTACTTGGAGACAAAGTGCATCGGACTTCAAGGAACTCATTGCATTTCTGGAAGTGGCATCGGTATCGTCGTTGCTACTGGAGATACGACAGTCTTTGGAAGGATTGCTCAACTTACCAACACCCCGAAAACTGGTATGACTACTCTTGAGCGAGAAGTTTTCAACTTTGTTCTTGTAATCGTTGCTTTTATGGTAACCATGATTGTTCTTGTTATTATTATATGGTACGTCTATCACATAATTTTTGGTACTTGCGGAATCCAAAACCTGATCCATATATAGGGCAGCATACTTGAGAAAATCATACCCTGATTGGATCAATGTACCAACTCTGATTGTTGATTGCGTTTCTGTCGCCATTGCATTTATTCCTGAGGGTCTCCCTATTGCTTTGACGGCATCACTTACTATAACAGCAAATCTCATGCGTAAGAATAAAATTCTTTGCAAGTCATTGAAGACGGTGGAAACTCTAGGTGCAGTCAGTGTCATCTGTTCAGACAAGACAGGTACTTTGACAAAGGTATGTCTGTTTCTTTAAGCCTAATTAACTCAGAGGCTAATTCTGTTCAGAACAAAATGTTTGTCACAGAATGTTGTATAGGAACATACAGTATGACTCCACAATCGGCCAAAGATGAGATGACTTCAAGTGGTCGGAACAATACTGCGATCTCTCAAATGAGATTAATTGCTGGACTTTGCAACTCTGGAGAATTTGATGCCGGTACAATGCACCTACCACTTTCCGATAGAAAGATCAACGGTGATGCTACTGATCAAGCTGTGTTACGATTTTCCGAGTCACTCGGTCCTGTCTCTGAACTCCGAAACATGTGGCGGAAAACTTTTGAACTGGCTTTCAATAGCAAGAATAAGTTCATGGTACGAACATTGGCACTCACTGAGCCCGAAGGCCGTTCTTATGCTCTTCCTAGCGAAGAAGCAACAAGTTTTGCCTCGGATGATACGTAAGATACCACCATTCAGTGAGAGATCCTGACTAACAATGTTTATGACAGCCTATTAACCATCAAAGGTGCACCGGATATCTTGATCACTAGATGCTCAATGTACACCACCATCGACGGTAATTCGAAAGCTCTTGACGAAGATGTACTTGAGAAAATCGACGAAATTAAGAATGGCTGGTCGGCAGAAGGCAGACGTGTCATTTTACTAGCACGAAAGATTGTCAAGAAAGACGAGTTGAAAACAACTCCAGATTCAAGTCACTTCGAAAAAGAAATATCATCCCATGCACGATCTGGTCTTACATTGGTAGGCATCCTCGGTATTGTGGATCCTCCTCGTGATGAAATACCTTCTGTCGTATCTACTTTGAGACGAGCTGGAATTCGATTTTTTATGGTAGGAGTTACATATTCATCTCATTCCATGAAGTATACTGACATAGTAAAAGGTAACTGGAGATTTTGCTTTGACTGCTCAAGCAATTGCTACAGAATGTGGAATCGTCACCAATCCTCCAAACATGGTAAAAGATGTCTCTTCCCTATCACGAATTAAACTCGTTTCCGAAACAGCTTCGCAGTCCGAAAATGAAAGCAAAGACATTGCAATCACTCCACAAATAACATCCATCGTTCTAAGCGGACCGGAAATAATCACTCTCAATGACAGTCAGTGGGATCAACTTTGCAAATACGACGAAATCGTTTTCGCCCGCACAACACCCGAACAAAAACTACGAATCGTCCGTGAGTTTCAAAAACGTGATGAGATCGTTGCAATGACTGGTGACGGTGTTAACGATGCACCTTCTCTCAAAGCTGCTGATATCGGGATTGCACTTGGAAGCGGTTCGGATATAGCGATTGAAGCTGCAGATATGGTTCTTCTCGAGTCATTTAGTGCTGTTGTCGAGGCAGTCCAATATGGAAGAGTGGTCTTTGATAATTTGAAAAAGACAATTGCGTATTTATTGCCTGCGGGATCATTTTCGGAGTTCTGGCCAGTTATGACGAATGTGGCGTTTGGGTTGCCGCAGATATTGTCTTCGTTTTTGATGATTATTATCTGGTACGTATATACTTCTTTCACTATAGCCCGTTCTGCACTTTTTAGATACCAGTATCAACTAACAATTCACGAAAAGTTGTTTTACCGATTGCGCTGCGGCCACAGTCCTCGCGTACGAAACCCCTGAAGCCGATGTTCTTCTCCGCAAACCGCGAAATACCAAAACAGACAGATTAGTCGATTGGCAACTTATTCTCCAAGCGTATGGATTTATCGGTGTAATTGAAACAGCATCTTCATTCGCAATGTCGTATTGGTATTTACAGCGTAGCGGAATCCCATTCACAGATCTGTGGTTCAAATATGGAAAGTTGCCAGAGGGAATCGATCAGAATTATGCGAATGCGAGATTGGCCGAGGCGTCGAGTATTTATTTTGTTAATTTGGTGGTTATGTAAGTTTTCTCTCATTTTTCATTATTTTTATTCCCTATTGTACATATCATGTACTAATACATTCTCAGGCAATGGTTTAACCTCATGGCCCTCCGCACCCGTCGTCTCAGTATCTTCCAGCATCCTCCCGCTTTCAACAAGGAAACGCAAAATCTATATATTTTCCCTGCGATTCTATTTGCATTGGTAATGGCGATTTTCTGGCTCTATATCCCGCAGTTGCAAAGTGTGTTGGGAACGAGTCAAGTTCCGGTGGAACATTTCTTTTTGCCAGCAGCGTTTGGAGTGGGTATTTTGATATTGGATGAGGGGAGGAAGTGGGGAGTTAGGAGATGGCCGGAGAGTTGGATTGGGAAGTTGGCTTGGTAAGGGGGGGTGCTATGGATGGTTGATTTGGGATTAGGGAGGACAAGATGCGATAATAGAATAGTAATTGATTGAAAAGATTTTCTGTATTGTGTTATGAGGGACTATTTATTTAGTGATTGGAAATATCTAAACTCGTGCTCCTCAGATCGCATATGCACCTGTAAGTTGTACTAGTACAAGATACACGACTACAATCAAAATTCAGCATGAAGTGTCTTTCCAGTAGGTAAACCGGTTCATCAAGCTGAATACGCAAGCTTTGCGTATCCACGATTCTCCTCAAAAATATAATTCGCTTATCCAACACATCAACCATACCATACAACACCAGTCAAAAAAAAAAAATCTCGCATTTCAATTGAATAGCTACATTATGAACCTTAGTACTGAAAATCCAATCGTAAATCCCGCGCATAGACGGACTCTGTTCCGATCTCTTATGCGCCAATCCAATCCAATCCAATCCAATCCCATTAATACCCTCAAGTATTTGAACTAAAATCTCTAGCATCTTTTGATGCTATAAATACAGGTAGGTAGATAGGTAGATACAGGTAGAAAGATGAAGATATCTTTGAGCCCATAGACCCTGACAAATTAATAAAACTAAATTTCGCCCAACTCCTAACTTTGACTCCCCTATTTGGCACTGGAGTACTGAAATCTATTTGCCTGTACTCCTTCCTGTCCGCCGTTCCCTTAATTAACCCACACAGATTCCCTAACCCCCATCACGCAACCAAAATCTAAATTTCCCCTCCCCTGAACACGCCCCTCACGGTATATACCCCAAGCGTCTCGTGACCTCCGCCCACGCCCCCAACACTCCCCTGAACACCCCCTCCATCCCGCGTCTCAAAACCGGTACTCCATAAACCACAGCACTCACAATACACACCATAAGTTTCTCCGAAATGACGATGAGGAATGTTAATGCGACGGGAATCATGGAGAGGGCTTTTGGTGTTAATTCTGCGATTTGGGTTGTGGAGAGAGAGGTGCTGCGACGGAGGAGGAGAAATGCGAGGATCGTGAGGAAGATGCAGATTAGAAATTGACTGGTTGGGGGTGTTAGCTGGGGTTGTGTGTACGGGATGGCAAGACGTGTATGTATACAGGAAAGAAAAATACTTACACATTTCGCAATTCCCCATATCTACAATTACTCTCTGTATTACGCGAGAGAAAATGCTTCACCTGCAGATGTTGGAAAAAAAAGAGTGTCCAGAGGAAAAGCATTCTGTGATGGGTTTTGTTAGCTATACATAGTATATATAGAAAGTACGGTCCGTAGATAGTAGAATGAGAAGTGGGAAAACATACCCCAAGATGAAACACCCGCGAGATGTTTCATGCAGAGTGAGGATGTCGAACTGCGGAGCTGAGGGGCCGGAAATGGAGAGGGCGTAGATGAGGGCGAGGGTTGCGAGAGGTTTGGAGGTGTGGAGATGGAGGAAGAAGAAGAGCGGGGTGGTGAGATGGCGGAGTTGTGATTGGCGTGTGGGTGGTGGGTGGTGGAAAGGAAGGATTTCGTGGGAGGCGAGGGAGGCCATGGTTTTGGAGGAGTAATTAGTTGGGTCGGTGGTGTGAGAGGGTTGTGTGTGTGTTTAGATACCAGAGTTTAGACCTTTGGATAGCTGGGCTATCTTGTGTTTTGCGGGTGAAGAGGGGCAGTCGAGGCTCAACGGTTCATGCGAGGAGATAGTGAGAGTTGGATGACAGTGTTCTAGCAGAATGAGGTTCAAGTAGAATAGACTTCCAGTAAAGCGACGTAACTTTTGTTGGTGGGCTTTTAGTAGAATCCAGATCAGCAGAACACTTACCCAGCCTCTCGACTCCAAAATCCAGATTCGCATGAAATATTTAGCAATTCCTTCGCCTACAGGCACGAAACATAAAACCAGAAGACTTATCCAGTACAGAGATAAAACCGCATGAATCGCAAATTCAGTATCAAAAGAAACGGCAATGAAACGTATATAAGGAAGGAGGGCAAATCGACTTAAACGCCCCGGAGTCCTGGGCACACAGCCAAGCATCTCGAGCCTGGAATAATAATAATAATTGCAATGACTCCAAAGCTCGCACAGCCAAGATCCTAGCGAGGTGCTACAAAGGTATAAGGCAGATTTCGTGAACCTATAAGTAGACTCGCGAGCCAATGATCTCTGTGATTACACAGCCGGAGAGGTGTAACGTATGAAGATATATCTGCCCATCTCGCTCTTCATTTTCTGGTGTGGTTTTCGAATGAGGGAATTCATATAGTTTCCGAGAAACTTTTCGATCGACCACCGGTAAAAGGATTTCCGAAACCGTCTGATTGATTTGCGCAAAGGGATCTTTTGCATTCATGAAGTTTTTCGATTTTTTGATCGCGACGGGGTCGCTGATTGTTAGTACTCGCTGTGTCATGAGTCAATATCAAGAAGTGAGTGCACAGTACTCTTGCAGACTGCAAAACCCCAAAGCTAAACTCTCCTGGTAGTTCTGCGAGATATCGAGCCTTTCTCTCCTCCTCACAAACGTCACGATGCTCGAGTTTCCATCCTCCAGCCTCGGCCCAGTATCAGAGCTGGCGACTGCCATTTTCGTCTGCATGCCAATTAGCTTGATAGCATGGATTTATGACATTGGAAAACATGAGAAACTGCACGCTCCAATGGTCATTCTTGCGTTTGGTTTATCGGTTTTTTTCTGGGTTGAGTTTGCGGCTCCAGTGGAGATCTATCTCTTCGTTATATTCCCCTGGATGTTATTAGCGGGGCTATTGATTAGCAGAATACATGATGCGGTTTGGAAGATAGGAGATCTGTCGGTACCGGAGGAGAAAAGAGGCAGCGATTATATACTGAAGGCTTGCGGCTCAGTGGGGAATTATCAGTGTAGCATGGCGGCGGATTCATGCCAACGTGCTGGGGCGTAAATTCGAACTGGCGGGATCGTTATTATTTGTCACATCTAGTTCTCCAAAGGAATCTTTGGTGGTAGTGGGGGCTTTTGTCCACTTTTTTTTTTCTTAGAGGAAAGGAGAAAGTTTCTATCATATTTCATTTGTTTTTATATAGGGGGGAAACTCCAGTTCAACGGGACAAACTATTCTGGAACAGAAGGAGGATTCTCCATGTTCTGTTCCATTTTTTTCTTAACTTATATAACCCTTCCTTTTCATTTCGAGGTTGAATTATTGGGCGCGTTACTTTTCCTGTTCTAGGTTGAAACCATGTAACTATCGGGACAAGATTCCACCTAAATAGTCTTTTGCTACCACTTTAACGGAGTTCATTACGTGGGCGAGGAAAGTTGATGGCGCGAAATACTCTATCACAATACAGATAATAGAATTATAGTGTGAATTTCGCGGCCCGTCAAAGATACAACTTTCAAAAATGATTTCAACAATCGAGCCAGCATATTGGATCCGTCTTGGGATCATTCAACATATAATTCCCACTTGAATATCTAATCGAACTATAACAAAAGAATGGTTTGAAAAGTTATGTTCACGTGCAAGCCGACTAGCTATCCGAACTATCGGAAATTTTGCATGAAGAGCCTCATCAACCCGCCTTGCGGGCATCTGTGGTAATACAACGAGAGCTGCTCCTCCTGATTGCGTGTACTTTTCGGTGTGTCTTAAAATCCAGCGCTCGTGATAGATCAAATTTTGATATGCCAACCCGTATAGACTGCGGCTATTCGGTTCTTAGTAAAAGCAATCCATTCATTCTGCTGACTTGACAATGCATGCCTAGAAAGTACTTGACAGACTAGTTCTCCCGCCCATTTGTTGGCAATATTGCAGGTTGTTTCTCGCTGGTTACTAATGTCACCTCGGTAGTGATTGTTGAGTATTCATTAACGTTACTATCGAAAATATAGATCAAATTGACAAATAACACCATGAAGAAATGAAAGAAAGTATACTCAACGTCAATAAATTCCTCGAAAGCATACACTAGTATGAGCTAAAGATATACTGAACTCAATTTCATAACGATCCACAATGTCAATACACAGATGTATCTTTCGGAATTAATATTTCTCGTTATGAAAGCATATGATGATATTTTATTTTACAATTTGCTTCCGCTGCTTTGTCGCTTGCTCTGTTGTTACACTAATCTAAAATTCTTATCCATTTACCAGTTTCGAAACTTTCCACTCGAATTAATTTTCAAATACCTTTGTCTCAAATTTGACATTGACGGATTGAAGGCGATTGATGTATTTTTCACCCAAGAAAGATGGAGTGTAGATACCACCTGACAATTTGTGATCATCTCGAAGTAATGTAATTGCACCCTGAGCAATCAATATACCAGTCACTGCATCGTATTAGTTACACGAAAACATCCCGGACTATATTATGTCACTTACATCCATAGATTGAACCATCATAATATTGTCGACAGAAGATTCGTGGAGGATTAGCTTGATCATTGTCCGGTTTAGCAATAGCTCGGAACTCGACTCGATCAGACTTTGTTTCCTCTTTCGTTGCTCCGTCTCCTGGTTGATAAACATATTTCCTGGCAGTATGTCTGAAAATTGGAATTGCTAAAAATAGACCACCAAGAATGAGACCAAAATGTATCATCATACCAGTGAGATAATTTCTTGCTTTCATGTATTCCTCAACCTTGAAATTAGGACCATAGAACTGCTTCTCGCTAGATAGCCCCCAACTTCGATGAATGATAGCTAAATCGGTTGACCCTGCAAGAGAAGTGGTAAGAATTCCTAAATCCGGTACGACTTTAATTCCGGTAAGTTTGGTGATGAGAGATGTAGATGGGCGAACTTTTGGACCAGGTATTGGAGATAGAGCGTATGGAGTAAATGCACCTTTGAGTTGCTTAAGGTTGAATACTTCCAATAGTGTGAAAACTGTTTCCATGGTTCCCCCGGATGGTTTGGCTCTAAAAGATATTAGTCCATTGGTTTTCCAGACATTCCGCGTCAAGTGCTATAGCTTACTTCATCTCGTGTAAAGATACGATGACTTCACCAGTAGGTGCAGAGAGCTTTTTCCGAACAGCATCAACAGCACATCGAGTAATCAAATCAGATAGACCAGATTCAATACCACATTAAGGAATGAGAACCGCACCACTAGCTTTAGCGGCGCCTTCGTATTTCTTGATCATCTTAGCTACCCATGGTACTTCTCCTGTGACATCAAAATAATGTGTACCATTTTCGGCACATGCTTTAAAGCAATGTTCGCCGTGAAGAGCATAAGGGCCAACTGTTGCCAAGATGACCTTTGTCTTTTTAGCCAATGCACTCAGCTCCGCGTCATCTAGGTTGCAAATTTCAATAGCTATAATGAGTAAGTGTTAGTCAATCACGAGAAAGATAATACCTGTCGAACACCTATCATGTATCGCACGTGATATCAAGGGGTTGGTGGGTACACAAACTGTTTGAGTCGTAATTAAGAATCTTACACACCTGGTTGTAATCTATCCGGACTTAGAGACTTGCATTCGGCTGCAACAGCCTCCAATTTGCTGGCAGAACGTCCTGCTAAAGCCCAACGAAGATCTGTAGGTAAATGTGTGGCAATATGTTCCGCTGTAAGTTTTCCTGTGTATCCCGTGGCTCCAAAGATAACCAATTCGTACTCTCTCTCTCCTGAAGACATTGTTTTTATATATAAATGTAGAACGCAAGAGAATGGTGAAATACCACTCGATTATATGTAGTTGAACGAGATAGATGAAATGAATACTCTTAGTTGCAAGTACGGAGTACAATGTTTTACTATCATATCAATATCCGGTTTCCAGATCAATGATTCTCCCTACGTATGTAGGTAGGTAGGTGGGATATCATTCTTGCCGAGGTTCAACCAGGCTTTGTTGTTTGAATTCGTCATTTCCAAGCAAGAGAGCATATCAATTCGTAGTAGAAGATGCTCAAGATGAGTAGAACAGAAGAAATTATAGATGTGGTAAACATAATAACTTTCAATCTTTGTATACCGCAACTCCACCGTGATTTATAGAAAAGACTGTGTATGTAAGATTTTATAGAATGTGGAAATGTAATTGTAACTGTCATGTGACTGTCATCATTCTGATAGTTTCCATTAGGGACTAGCGTAATGGGGCTATTAACCGAATCCCACGACGAATTTGACCAAAATAATTCCCATCAAGTACATTGCGACAAATCTTCAATTTCCTCATCACCGTTCATCAACGCAAAATACCGCCAAGATGACAAAGAGAACCAAGAAGGTCGGAGTCACCGGTAAATACGGTACCAGGTATGCGATTATTTCAGCTCTACAAACTCTACACACCCAAATATCATGGGAAGGAAGAATCTGCAACTCTTAAACACATTGTTGAGTTGTAATGGGATCGAGAAATCTTCAATAATGAAGGAGGATCGACAAATCAATACTTGCAGCAGATGGAATCAAAATAAAAATAAAACAAATCAGCAAACAACTGGCTAATTCCTTTTTCCTCGAATAGATACGGTGCATCCCTCAGAAAGCAAGTCAAGAAGATGGAAATCACTCAACACGCAAGATACGTCTGCACCTTCTGTGGAAAGACTACCGTCAAGAGACACTCCGTTGGTATCTGGGATTGCAAATCATGCAAGAAGACCGTTGCTGGAGGAGCTTACACCGTCACGTATGAGCCAACGATTCGAATTAAATGAATACAACTTACTAACATATTCGACAACAGAACCCCCCGCCGCCGCTGCTATGAGATCGACTCTCCGCAGATTGAGAGAAATCGCCGAGGTTTAAATGGCTTGGGATGGATGTTTGTTTCTACGGGTTATTTTTTCTGCGGCACGGGATAGGTCTCACTTATGATATACAAGGGAAAAGCATCGCGCTGCAAGATCGATGCCGATATTCGATGAGACCGGATGAAGAAGAATGAAATCATACCCTGCCTCAACTTATGGTCCATACACAACGATTGCGAATTTGGTGTGAATGTGTGAAATTGGGTTCCAGAAGGATTAATCAAGATGTCAATCAACAATGACCATTAAGCGCCGAAGGAGGAACTTCCAGGATGCGTTGGCCACATGTCAAAGTGAAGACGTCAATTGCTTAACACAATTTCGATATAGCTCATTTCATGATCGAGTTGACAATTCCATTTATCCTCATTTTCGGACCCTCCGGTGGCTGTCCCATTTGTTTTGATCATAATGCTCTTCAAATAATTTACTTCGGCAAGCGCTAAAGCATACTAAATTGATACTGTGGTAGGTCGACCTGTCGATCAAATATTGACCGCATTTGTTTATGGCGTTGGTCATCACTCGGCCATCCGAATACATACCAAGACAAAAAGTACCTCAACTGCTGGATTAATTCCATCGTTTCATTGCCATCCCACAAATCACCATGACCGTGTTTAATGTGGCTAGAGCCTCAACATTGACCATCACAGAAGTCTAACGACATGTTTATAGGGGCACCAGGGTTTACTCCACGGTCGTCACACATAATGATGCTTTACATGTCTTTTGCCTTCATTGATTCTATTGAACTCTGCTTTATTATATTTGAATGCTGCCCGTATCCTGTTCTCCATATCTCCCTCCTGGTAAGAATTGCTTATTTGTTTTAATTTTGATTGTCAAGAAAACTTGAAAACCCCGTCCTATCATTTTTACTTTGACATCTTGAAGTACTTATACTATGAGTAAAGGCGGAAGTAATGCTGGATGGGACATCGGAAGCAACTCTCATCATAGTGGAAGGGATTTTTACGAACGTGCCTCTCGTCCCCGTCATAGCGACGGGAGTGATGGAAGTGTCACCCGTTATAGTAGAACGGATGGGAATGTGAGTGTGACACGTAAGAAAGTAGAAAGAGGGCCACCGATCTCTATGCATAATAGATATGGTGATGAGGGTAAGTCGGTGCAAGTGTTGGGCACTAAAACTTGATAACAATGCTGACATCAACAGAATTTCCCCCACGACATAGGACCCGAAGCCGCAGTGGAAGTATACGTGCGCCGTCGGTAGTATCTG